ATGCTTCTTTCTACTTGAAAGTGAACAGCAAAACTTTGGCATTTACTTGCTGTGTCTCCTTAGTAAAAATAAAAATGATATTTTAGAGCTCCTTCTAATCCCTATGATTCATATGTCAGACTCCCTACATTCATCATTTCAAGCAAGTTTTTTTATCCATTTCCAGGCCTAATGGTGAACCATGTTCCAGGCAAATTGCCTTCTTTTTATTCCTAATGCTCTAATCAGTGTTAGTAAAGAATGCACATGACAACCTTCATGCAATTATTATTATTGACTGGCAAGATGTCTATATAAACTATCTTCTTCACTCCTCCAAAACATTTTAAAACCATGGAGACAACAGCAAGCCCTTCTTTGTTCATCAAAATGCATAATCACATAGAAAGAGAAAACTCTTCTGCCTATTTTTTTCCTAGGAGCCTTTACAGTTTCAAATCAAAGCCACAATATATAGCTGATGAATAACATTATTATGACTACGCTGCAGGCATACAGGGGGTCCTGCATTACTGCAGTCTAGTTAGCCATCAACCACTGTTTTAAACATGTGCCTTCTGAAAACTGAGTGCCCATGACTGTGGTCATCAGCACTAAACACGGAAAGTGACTTAGATCCACAGACAGGGATAACTAAAATGTTGACATTAAACAGTCAAATTTCCCAAGAACCACATAGGAAACTACTTCAGTGTCATCTTCAAGCCCAGCTTTAGATGCCCAGATGTGTAACTACACTTAAAGGTACTGAGAAAACTGACTCAATCCCTCCTTCAAGAAACTTCCAGTCACCTGCCATATAATCAGTTCAGTTCAGGGACAGTTCAGGCTCTGCTAGAGGATACACTTTTAGAACAATGCAACTTTTAAAACACAACCTCTGGTGTGATTTTCACATGCAAGATTATAACGTGAAAAGGCATAAGCAGACTATATTGTTCATAATAAAAATAGATTATTCCATTCTGAAAGACAGGAAGCTATTACTTGAGCAATAATGGTTTACACCATAGCGTTGCTTATACGCTTAAGCAGTCAAGACTAAAGCAATACTAAAATTTCCAGCAGAATTTCCATTAACAGTGACCAGTGTAGGATCTAAACTATAATCTAGCAAATCTGGTTTCAGCCATTAGTGTACCAGGGTACATAGGTATATTAGTCTGTTTTCTGTAAAGCTATCCATGCAAATTCATCTATTTGTTGCATTCAGTCTGAGCCTACTTGCAAGTAAGATAGAGGGTGACTCAGCTTGAGGTGAACCATCACTACAAAGACCATCTGCTACACCACACTGTATGTTCTCTCTGTTCAAAGACCTAATTGTACTTACCCTCACAAGCACTAGCTGGATGAGGTAATTCAGTGAGACACTGTAAAGGCTAGGGTCTTTTACAAAAAATATTTTTGGCTGAAATCATAACAGGCATAGAGTATACTGCTACAACGGCCCCAGAAGGCAGTGAGCTAGTGTCAGGATGAGTCAGTATAGAATTATGCTGAAAAAGCCATGCGTAGCTCTTTTCTGACTCAAATAAAAAAAAAAAAAAAAAAAAAAAAAGCTGGGGATGGAGACTGTAAATATCTGTTCTGCAACAGTGAATGATGCAGATCTTGGTGTAAGATAAGCTTTGAGTGCAATTAAACCATTAGCTCATCAGAACCAACAAGCTACAGTATAGAATAATTCTGGGGTGTTTGATATTTATTCTTGCTTGTCACGACATACTAAAATACGCCACAGATGTTCACTGCTGAGCACAAGAGGTTGCAGGTCTGCAGGCAGCACAAGCCAGAGTAGTCACCTCCCAATGCTGTACTTCCACTGATTCTTTTATGCTGAATCCCATTTGGAATTAGACAAGGAAGCATTTTTCCCTCTCCAATAATTGTTTATTTCTATGTATAATAAGCCCCATCATTTCTGTTAAAGACTTTGTAATATACTAAGTTGTTCACCATAGTTATTTGCATAAAAAGAGGTATAATTTCATATAGAGTTCTTTACTGAAGGAACTCAAATGAGTATCATTAGCATCACTAATGCTAAGCAGCTAGGAAAAATCTCTTGGCACTAAGGAATGAGATATAGAACCAGAACAGGTGTTAACGGCTTTGTTTTCACCCCCTTGTTTTCAGGAATTTTTATCTTGACATATATGATATATTGGAGCTCAGCCAAGGACTGTTGTTTTTTGTTTGTTTGTTTGTTTTTTTTTCACAATCCATTTCACCTCCTTTTTGCAGGTGACTGGAATGCTGTTATCCAAATTAGTCTGCAATTCACCATCTCTAGTGAATTTACACCATATATAAATTTGCTGCATAAAGTCAATCTGATACACTCCTAAATGTGAATACAAATATGAATAGTAGTTAGCACACATCTACGGGTTTGTATTCTTTTTCATCAAATAGCTTGCAAACTCATTTTAAGCATATTTTAATCAGGTAGAGACAACTAAATGATTTACTTTTGAAAGATTTCAAGAAAGAAATCAAACAAAATTGGTGTGTTTGAATTCAAGAAGCTTGGTCACAAAAACGAATGTAGAAATATCAACATCAAGCAACTTATTTGCTCTCTATGAATCTATGATATATAAAGCAATATAATTCATAATTTTTTAAAAATTTCACAAGGTGAAATAATCTTTAACTTAGCATTATTTTCTTTGTGTTTTTCTGAAGCACAACAATGTGTACAGCCTGTAGAGAATTATCTGTATTTTAAATGTTTCTCTGCGGATATTTTACTTGTAAAAACATTTAAGGAATGACTCAGTAAATGAGATAATATAATCACATCATTCTATTTATTATAATCACAACATTCTATTAAAAGGTTAAATTCAGATACCATTCCCCAGGCTGATTTTGCTAATGTAGTCATCCTTAAATAGATATGATCAGTAATTCTGCATTAAAAAGTGACTGTTCTTTCAACTATTTTTTTACTTGCTGTTTTTAGAAGCAATACTATGAAATAAAAGTAAACAAAAATAAAAATAGCTCTCTTGCTTTTATAACAACATAATTAAAATGCTAGCCCATAAGACCCTATTCCTACAGACAATTTATGGACATCCTTAATTTTTAGAAGTTGTTTAAAGGACTCTTACAGGTCTTTTCTAAGTGCTTGCAAGAACACGACTTAACTGCGGTAGACGTACCCATTTGGCTTCTCCCCGCAAACAAACAATTGCAAAGTTCCAATTTTTATGGACATAATCCTGGACAGATGCCTGGGTATAATACATGCTTTTATGCATAGACGTACAGAGATATATATGAGAGCATATAGATATTACATGTATTTTTTAACTGGAGAGCATCTGCTCTTGATTTGATCATTTTCATACGGATGCTTTTGTGGGTAATAACAGAAGTATAAGCTGTTATTATATACATTTTCATGATTATCCTCATGATCTTTAGATAACAATACTCCCATATTTCTCAACAATCAATAGTTTTGAATTCAACCTGAGATTCATTTGCTACATACACACAAACTCCTAGCACATTAAAGGAAACCTGTTACTCTCAACAGGAAGGTTTGAAGAATTCAGATTCCATCCAGGATAGAGAACTGACAGGAAAGTAGAGTAATTGAATTAAAATGACAGTTTTATTGTTCTGGTGGGGTTTTTTAGTCATGTCTAGCAAAAATTACTGCCCTGGTATTTGAGGGAGAAAAACTGCAAAGGGGAAAAAAATGAACTCTCCTATACGTTTTCTTTCCCCCTGCAGTTGATAAAGTTAATGTCTCAATACAAAAGTAGTTGTATCAGTGACTGCTTGCTATGTACTACTGTACATATATTCTAACACAACCTTAAAAAGTATGATGTCTATTCCAGTAAAAAAAAAAAACATTTTGGTAAATAATGTCTCCTGCTATACAAATAATCATAGTCTGTCTAATTTGAAATCCATAGCACACAAGGTAAGGCAGAGAATAACAATATGGATCATTTAATAAGATGCCATGCTTTACTAACTTATGGGAAATAAAAGTCCATTCTTCAGAGGCTAGTTTTTGCGCAAGTAGTTTCTAAAATCATGAAGACATTTTGTTCACTCTTAAGACTCTTTCTTTGTGCCAGAATTATTCACTAGCTAAAACATTCCAAAGGTTGAAAATTAACATATAGAATTCTTCTTGCTGTTCTGGACAGTACAAACTTCTATAAATACTTTCTGTGTAAGGATTACCTTTTGCATTACAAAAATTGCAACTGTTACCAGAGTATGGAAAAAGTAGGTTCAACAATGGTATCTATTTCAAAGGAACTCCATACTCATTGGTAGCACAGAAAGATACATATCCACATATACAAATGCATAAATTGATATAAAAGTATGTCAATAAATGAATAAATATATTATACTAGTTAATTAATAAATGGACAGATTTTTGTGCATATGGCAATACTGACTTGGATTAGCTATAAAGTTTACAGCTGTCTTGCAAATCACCACAGACATCTCAGTCTTAGCTTCTTGCACACAGCCAGCCAGCCACAAAAGCAAATCATAAATGTAATAAACGTCTACAGCCACAATTCAGTATCAGTTGCAGAGTGCAGTGATGATTTTCCTTTTGTGCTGCTGCTATGGCAGTTCTTATCTTCATGTACTGGCCTATACACTAAACTCATACTTGCCATGAAAACAGGCTAAAAAACAGATCTGAAATGCAGAAACTCTGCAATAAAAATATTGCCAGCTTCATATAATTGACTTTTTGTAGTAAATTAAGCATTCCTTTCATTTCATTTACATGACAAAAACATGTCTGTGTAAGTCCACTCCAATGTAAGAGACACATCAAAAATTTCTATAATTAAAGTATTCAAAGGATAGTCAATGTCTCCTCCAGACCAGATGACTGAATTCTCCATAGCACTCAGTTAAAAGTGTTTTCCATTTCAGCATCCCCTTACATACGGTAGAGTGGAAACTTTAAACAGTATGAAATTCACTTTGACTCTTACCAGAAAAAACACTGGGGATCTTGGAAAGAAAACTTTTGACTGTACGAATAGGAATCCCATTTTTCTCATCTTGCATGCGGGCTATGACGTCTTCCATCTGAACACAGAGAAAAAAAAATAAAAGAAAGAAACAAAAAGAAAGAAATCCAGAATTATTTCCTAAAATAAATTCTCCAAGAAATCCTAGATCAGTCTCTCAGAATGAAAGGTCCACTATTGCTATTTCTTTTTTAACTTATAATTTATATTCTATATTTTTATTGAACAGGTTAAAAAACTGCAAATAATTTATTTGTGGACAACAGTAAAAAAAAGTATGTGATCAAAATCTCTTGAGAAAGAAATACCAATGCAGAACAAAGAGATTTAGTTAAAAGGAGTTAACAGAAGTTAAAAGAAGTAGTTAAAAGCCATTGCTGGATATAGAACTTCGTGTTTTGATTATACTACTGGAATTGTACCACATATAAAGGCAAAATAGACTCAGAGCCTTCTAGGGGACTGATACAGTTCTCAAAAAGGCTATTCAAAACAAAAATAGAGCTTTTAAGTTCAAAGCAAAAATTCCTTCTTTTCTTTTGAGAAGAGGAAAAAAATACAACATCATGCAATTTTGCATCCCTGGAGACAGCAGAGCGAGAAATGTAAGATATTTTGTAGGTAATGGAGTGGCTATAAAAATGTTTAAAATAACTTTGCTGTATTTTTTTTTTTATTTTTACATTAGCCCATTTTTTCCAACTCAATTTTTTAGGCTAATTTGGACTGTACATCTTATAAATTATGCCCAACCCAAAGGCTCCCTTTCACGTGGACTATGAACAGCAAGCTCTTTTACTGGAAAACACAAAGAATATTTAGGTAGAGTCATTGGCTGACAATATCAGTTTTTATTCTTGCACATTTCATAACTGAAATTTACACATTAGAAAACTTCCATCTTTCTTTCTTTCTTTGAATATCTAACTTCTGAAAATATTCAATGATATTGTGGTAAAATGAATTACAACTATCCTTCCTTTTTCCTTAAAACACCAACATACTCCATATGAAAAACTGTGTGATGGAGCATTTCATATTAATTTATTAGTCAAATCTTCAAAAAAAATTCTATCTCACCTCTGTCCCCCCAACAGGCTCCCAAAGAATTCATTAAAAGTTTGTGGCTGGGTTGTGTTGAGAAAAGAGACTAACAGACAGAATTCTGTTATACACCTTTTTTCCACTGAAGTCAGATGACCCAAATCAGCAAACAGCAAATCAGCATTAGTTGCAGCTGTGCATTAACTGGCCCAATGGGGGAGTTGTATAGAGCCAGGAAAGGGGAATGGAGCTGGGGTCACCAGTGCTGTATACAGGAAAAAAACAAAAATCCATACCAAAAATGAAAATAAAATCAATTAGTTTGACTGTTCATGAAAAACCTGTTTACACAGAGAGTGTCTGGAGGTTCACATGCTCCATGTACTTATGGATCATATATTAACAACCCAAGGAACACAAATCCAGTGGCATAGTCCAAAACAGAAAGTACACACAAGAAGTAGATACTGTTAGCAAGATGTGGAAGACAGAGGCTATGGCTCAGAATTAAGGAATGTCCAAATGTAACAGAAGAAAAGAACCAATGTTCATTATAATGACTTTCATCTGACATGGAATTTAATTATTCAAATAGAAAAGGCTATTAAATAATGTTGTGAAGAAATTCTCAAGCAGACAAACTGTTGTCTATGAAATGGAATCTGCGTCTACATTTATTATCCATATAATAAGTGAAGGCTTGTTTCAACCCTTTCTAAATTCAGTTGGTAAACTGTCTTATCGAGCCCTTAAATGAAGAAGAAATCACTTAAATTCAAGTGAATATCTTTGCTTTAAACAATAAAATAAATTATAGCTGTAGGTGCATGGTCTTCTATAGAAATGAACAGAAGTAAATTTGATGATAAATCCCATACATGCAGTGTAAGCTTATAAGAATATTGCTAGAACTGCAGAGTGAATAATAATGTATGTTACACTGGGACAAAGTTTAGAAGACAATTCATACATAAGGCAACATGATAAAGGTATACTTGCATTATAATAAGGATTACTACAAATGTAGGACACAATCCTTGAACATAATATTACAGGTAATGATATGCAGTTACCTCTTTCTCAGGAATGCACAAGAGTGCAAACGTTGAATGCCTCGCATTCCTAGTGCTGTCAGTAATCAGTGTTTTGAGGGTATACGGAATAAATTGTTAACTGACATTCACATATGCTTTCCTAAACTTGCTTCATGGACAAGATTTAATCTAAACTGTATAAAGCCTAACTCTGGTAGGGACTGTAGCTCTGGGGAAGTTCTCTGGTTTTGATTAGCAAAGTGAGCTCTAGGATGTCTGCACTGCAAAATTACACCTTCCCCTGCACGTCTAACTGAGATTATTGTTCCGTGTCAGGAGCGAACACCCTCTGTGCAAAAGTCAGCTCACACTCCAGACAGCATCGTTGTGAACTGCCTGGTTAATTCAGTGTACAAAGATTACTGCATAAGTGAGTGGGAATGTTCTGAAACAAGATACAACGCAACAGCACGCTCCTAATTAGTTACAGTTGACCTGGGATTCTGTATGTTATCTGTTAGACTACAAAATTCTTATTTGTCTTGTCCCTTTTTGCCCAGAAATCTAAAAGGTCACGTGTATTTTGTGGTCATATTAAATCTTAAACGTAAGAACTCAAGAAAATGAAGGGCAAAATAAAAAAAAAAAAGCTTCAATTAAATATTCAAAACCATCTAATCCAACATATGCAGGTGCACAGTTTAAATTTCAATATATGTAGTCCCTATTTCTGTTTTAGCTGCTTTAAATTCAGCAAATGTATAATCTCTTCCACTGAAAAACATCTCATTTTAAGTATATTTGGGAAGCAGCACTCAAGGCACTTCTCTGTCATTTATCAACAATGACCTAAGACAATGAAAAGGGCAGACTAGTTTAATTAGAATGATGAAGGAAAATGTTCATCTGATTTTGCTCAAGAATTCTAATCTGGGAAACACAAGCTGCTGCCTGATATAATAATTTTCTTTCCTGATGGATCATTGTTTGCTTCTGAGTCACCTGACCCGATGCTCAAAAATGATATATAAGCTCATTCACTTCACCTCAGAATTAGGCTTTCACAGTTCTGTTCTTATGTGCTTAGCTGGCTAAAAACCTGACTGGCTCTGATCATGCAATGGGATCTTTTTCAGCCCTAAGCCTTCTCAAAGAACTCAAAGAAAACAAATCCACAAACAACAACTGCCTCCTGATTACTCTGCAAATGAACCTCAATGTGCTTGAGAAAAGGAAGTTGTACAAGCACATCTTTCAGCTTTTCAGTCATCATTATACACAATTAAAATGGAAAGTGTAGCTAGAATGAAGTTCACAGTGCAGCAAGGATTCTTCAGGAGCATTTTTAAATAAATGTATACTTCAAAAAATGTGCCATTTGTTTACCAATAAGGCAATTCTAACCCTGACAAAAACTCACTAACCTTCTGATGCATAGGCAACTTAGACCAAACTTATAATAATATTTAAAACTTCACTCATCTCCTTGTGAAGATAATTTGCAGTCTTCATTTTGACAGGTAAGGACTCTGTGAAATCTATTTCAAAGACTAACTCTATGACAACAGTGACAATGCATCTTATATGAAGCAAAAAGAAAGAAGATAGCGATATCCTGTAATAGAAAGGCTGCAGGATACAGGAGCCATTCCCTAATAATGACCACTGACTCTGCTCCAAATGCACCGGGAGCTAGGCATGGAGACATGCATGTCCTAGCCCAGGGACAGAACCCACAGAACACTAACAAGCCCGCAGAGTCAGTAGTATCTGGCCATGGGGAAGAGAGATTGCAAGTTATCAAATGGGAAGTGAAGGTGTTCGTTCTCAGTCGTCTGTATTACTAAAAGTCCATTGAAGGATTATACTTATTAGGCTTCTCTTCTTCTTTGATACGATCATAAGAGTTTTCTGCCATATGGGGTACGATTCACCTCTTCTATCATTAATCATCAGTCACCACCCAAAGGTACCTGTCTTTCTCCATTATTGATAGGGGAAGTCTTGACAACAAGCCAGGACCAGTATCCTTTAGCTACTTACAGCTAGGTGAAGTGAATACAACTCCTAGGAGCACAATATTTATGGTTCCTTAGATTTCACTGCCATGAGGTTTGTGAAGACCCTGATCCTTAAATTTCTAAATCTAAATATGAATTTCATTGTTAATCATCCACAAATTTTTCAAAAATTATGCCCTTGCACCATAATTCAGCATCACTTCTTCTTAAGAAGTTGGGTCTTCTAATTAATTTGACAACAAAAGTCAAAAGCTCAAAAAGTTTGTCAGTGCAGGACAAGAGTTTTTTCTTCCCTTAAAAGCAAGCCTAAATCAACTCCACATAAAGATGGTCACTAGATACAAGGATTCCAAGACAAGAAAAAGAAAGCAATGGTCTGGAACGAACTAAAGTTCAAGAGATACACGGTAAGAGCTTGAATCCTTGACCTACTTATACATTTACAGATATCTCAACTTGACTTCTGTTAGTATAACAAATTTTAGTGCCAGGGAATTAAAAGTATACCCAGGAATACGAGAATGAAACTAAGCATAATTTTGTACTCAGTTATCATACCTCAGAACAGGGGATTGCTCTTATGTTGAGTGTACTGGGGTCCACCCACACTACAGCTTTGGTAATTTTGCTAAAATCTTTCTTCTTCATTTTACCCAAATGCAGGGGTGGAATAACCCAGTGGAACTACAAACCTCATTCAAACTTGTTAACAAAGTACAACAAGTTACAATACACTACGCAACAAGTTTCCCAAGACGTTTTTTTTCCCCTCCCTACTTAAACAGGTTACAGAGCCTGAGGTCATCAGTGCAGCTGGCCAGCAGGTTGCAGAAAGCTTTCCTTAGCCAGCCCCCCATGCAGAGACATACATGACGCAACATGGGCTGAACAAAACCAGCAGGGTAGGAGAAAGCTGCAAGGTTCCTTACAAGGTAATGGCTATTTTTTCTGTTTTCCAA